TTTTTTTTCTCAAGAGAAGTAGATAGAACAAAAACAAGGAAACAGTACTCACGGCGAGCTCGCCGGTGTTGAAGAGGCGGTCGTCTGCATCGTGCTTGGTGGCGAGAAACAACGCCGTCAGCTGGCTGGCGGTGACGAGAACCAAACAAGCAATGATAAAAGACCGAAAGCGATGGCTCGTAACCCTAAGCTGCTTCTTTAACCTCAGATGCTGCCGGAGCACCGCCTCAACTTCCGACTCCTCCCTGAACACGGCGGCGAAATCCTCCAACCTCAGAATATGCAACTGGCAGATTAACCTAAAACGGCGCCGTTCTCTGATTACTATTATCCCCAAATTTCACAAAGCAAATCGAACAAAATAAGATGAAATACAGATACCTAAAGAGAACGCAGACGAGAAGGAAGATGGCTGTGCGGTAGGTCCAGGAGGCTAGCTCGAGGGCAAATGCGACGGAATCGCTCGCAGCCGGGTGGCAGAGAAAGGGGATTCGTCGGGATCCGGCGAGGTACCACCAAAGCTTGTAAGCGAACTCGGCTACGAGGGAGGGGGCGACGAGGAAAGAGAGGATGCGGAAGGATCCACCAAGTTGGGCGGTGTAACAGGCGTGAACACGGGGGCTCTCTCGCCGGAGTTCATCTACGAAGAGAAGGCGGCGGAGGCCGTAGCGTTGGTGGGCTGAGGAGAGACAGAGGAAAGCCACGGCGGCGGCGGAGCTCAGTGAGAGTTGGAGAGCGGCGTCGTACGGGCGGCGGTGGGGGGAGAAGGTGAGGACGAAGTGAGAGATGGATGGAACGGCGAAGTTGAGGGCGAAGAAAATGGTCCAGGATAGGGCAGCGGTACTGGAGGTGGAATGGTCGACGCCCATCCATCGGAGACAGGAGCGGAAGGCTTTCAGCTCGTCGGCCGCGTTCGATCTCATCCGGATGAGGCTCGCCGGCGGTGGCCGGAGTTTGGGTTGGAGAAGACGATCCACAATCGACATTTGTGCTGCTTGCTGGCTGGCTTG